CCTGTGTTCAGAGCCAAACAAACCCTCCTACATTTTGGCTGGCTTCATTTTTAGTGACACAGTTTTCATCAGCTAGGTGAAGCAGTGGATAAAGGGCCAGGCCTGGAGTCAGGAAGACCTGAGTTCAAATCCAGTTTCAGAAATTTACTAGCTTTGTGACCCTGGGCAAGTCACTTAACCATATTTGCCTCAGTTTCTTCATCTGTAAAGGAGCTAGAGAAGGATATGGCAAACCACTCCAGTATCTTTGCCAAGAAAAGTCAGTAAGACACAACTGAAAATGCCTGAACATCAACAACATAGAGGTGTTGTGAGGACTAAATGAGATAATTGTAAGCAGTTAGCACAGTTCCTGGCATGTAGGAAGTGCTGCATAAATGTTAGCTGCTGTTAGTATCATCTTTGCTAAAAGGATCCATCCCTAGCCAGGTCACCACTTCCTTTTCTAGATGGTGACAAAATTTTTCCTGAAACATAGCATCCATAACGATAGTCTGCCCTGGTCGGAACACATTTGCGGTGCTGTATTCATTTGAGGGGCACCACACTTTCAGAGGTATGTTGGCCAACTGGAGAGTACCCAGACAAGGGAGATCAAGATGGTGGTAAAAGCCATGGAGGAACTGAGAGTGTTCAACAGAGAAAAGACTCAGTGCCAGGGACATGATTGATTACTTAAGTGTTAGGAGGATTATACTATCAAGGCACAGGCTCCAGGACAGAAAGAGAAGCAGTAAAGTTGTAAAGGCAGATTTAGCCTTGAAGTCAGGAAAACTTCCTAATGATTAGAACTATACAGAAGTGAAATGGGAATTAGTTTGCCAACAAAAAAAAAAGAAAGAAAGAAAGAAAAAAGAAAGGAATTCCAAGGAAGGCAACCAAGATGGCAAGTCTCAAGACTCTGCCCATGTAAGGATTAATTGAAGGAACTGGAGGTTTTTTTAGCCTAGAGAAGCAAAGGTACCAAAAGAACACGATAAATATCTTTAAATACTTGAAAGCCTGTATCATAAGGAAGGCATATAAAGATTTATTTGTTCTGGTCCCAAAGGACAGAAGTTGAAGCAATGTGTTAAACATTATAAAGAAACAAGTTTTGGTTTCATGTAAGAAAAAACCTAACAGAGTTGTGCAAATGTGGAATGGATTGCTTTGAGAAGTCATGGATTCTCCCTTGGTAGAAACCTTTAAGCAGTGGCTGGATGACCTCAGCTCTGTAATAAGGGAGGTTCTTTTTTTCAGAGTCTCCTCAGATTAAGCAATTGATAAAGATCCATTCCAACTCTGAAATTCTGTTCTTCTTGGAAGTAATAGAAATCTTTCCAAAGGCCTACTTCATTCAACATAGTTTCAAGTTTTCTAGGTTACTCTCTGGCCCTGACTCCCTTCAAAGGTTCCTAATTCTCAAGCCAATGTGTTGAGCTCTTGCCTAATCCAACCTTTCACCTTAAAGATGAGAAAACTTGAGGCCCTAACAGGGGAAAGATGATAGAAAGAACCCTGGCCTTGGACTCAGGAGATGGGTTTTCATTCTGGGACGTAGTGATCTTGCAGGAATCATGTCAGGGTTATTTTTTTTTAATTAAATTTTATTTTTTCCCAATTGACAAAATCCTACTTTTCCCTTCTACTTACCTCTACCTCGGGAAAAAAACAAAACAAAACTCTTATGAGCAAATATGAATAGTCAAACAAAATAAATTCCCACCTTGGCCACATTAAAAAAAAAAATCTATGTTTCATTCTCTATCCCTCTCAGCATTACTGTGAGGAGAGTGGTTTACAAACTTTAATGTTCTATGTAAATGTGAATTATTGTTATTATTGTTACTATTATTAGGCTTAGTTTCCTCATCTGTCAAGTGGGTATGATAACCACAAAAATTTACATTTATAGAGCACATTAATGGGCAGCAAGGCCTCATAGTGGATAGAGTGCTGGGCCCCGAATCAGGAAAAATTATCTTCCTGGGTTCAAATGTGGCCTCAGACACTTACTAGCTGTGTGACCTGGGCAAGTCACTTAACCCTGTTTGCCTCAGTTTCCTCATCTGTAAAATGAGCCAGAGAAGGAAATGGCAAACCACTCTGGTATCTTTGCCAAGAAAACCCCAAATGGGATCATGAAAAGTAGGGCAGGACTGAAAATGATTGAACAAAGCACATTAACATTCCAATGTACTTTCTTTACAACACCTCTATGAACTGGGGCTGGAAGGGTGGGACAATATTATTACCCCCATTTTGTAGATGAAGAAACTGAGATTCAAAGAAGTTGAAAAACTCACTTGTAGTCACAAACTAATCAGTGTCAGAGTCGAGATAATAATCCTTGAACTGCCTCCTTCATGGGATTGTTTAAAGATTGAATCATCTAATGGATGTCAAAGTACTTTGGAAACATAGTCATGGAAGGCTTAGTTTTCATTCTCCTCCTCCTGCTTCTCCTTTCCTCTTCTTCTCCTTCTTCTTCTCCTTCTTCTTCTCCTTCTTCTTCTCC